ACAATTTCCTTCATTGAAGTTCGACTAATTTGACATAAAATGTAGCTTTTGAGCCCAGAGTTAACCAAATGGCTGGTGGAGAAAACATAAGAGCAGAGTGTTGGCTTTCTTCACTCCAAAATTTGATGATTTTATGAGGAGATGATGAAAGTAGGAACTTTCCTTATCTAAAGAAAATGAATTATGTTGAATATAGGAAGTATTTGAGTCCTGAACTGTCCCAGTCTGATGACCTGCCCAACAGGCCCTGAATTTCTCTAGGGAAAATGGTTCTAAGTCCAGCCATTAATGCCTTTTAAGTTCCTCTTTACATCAAAGTTTTTCCAATTCTTTTGGAAGAACCTAGCTTTTTAAGTGGTTCAAATAAATAGAAATATGATTAAGTACTTACTTGTCTTTTGTTTGTTTTAGTTTAAAAATGGTTTTCTAAATGGATAAAACTACATTTCTGTAATGAAAATAAATGAGCTATTTATTTTTTCAAGTTCAGTTAGTGGTTTTCCTGAATGTGTTTTTTAAACACTGCAAGAAAAATATTACCTATCTTTTGGTTCTTGGAGAAGGAGAGAGTATATTAGTCCTTCAGGAAACTTATGTTTTGATGTGTAAACAAGACTCCCCATAAATGAGAACTGTTTTTTTTCTTTCAAGTTTCATAACAGTTGCATTCACTTTGGTCTTTGTTTTGATTGCATGTGAGAGCTATCCTCTCCTTTAACTACATATTGCTGTGTCAGACTCAAAGTTTGGGAGATGGCTGAAAGACTCAGGTTCTTCTATCTTACAACTCTGTCTTGTCACAGGAGACATACTGAACTCTTCAATCTATGAACCAGTGACATTCTTTTCTATTAGTGTCTTAATACCTGAAAAATTAAATAAATATTTTAGGCTAGAATAACTGAAGTTTAGCATGATGGAACAAAAAGCAAAATCTCTAAGTATTTTTTAATCCATGGACTGTTCTGTGATTCCAAAAGAATATTCAAGAACTAATGCAGTATATTAAAAGCAAATAATAAAAGATAACTGCTGGGCTGAAAATATTTAAATGGACCATTAATGTTTATTTAGCTGCCTTGTGAAGATAGTCTCTTACACTAACAGATGAGAAAGAAAAAGAGATGAGAACAAAAGAAGTGCATTCAACATAGACATACTGCATACATCAAAGAAATTTCTTAGGAGAAACCGCTCCATAATAAAAGCATGTATGATAAATAGGAATAAAACTTTATATCTGAACTCTGGCTTGTATAAAAAATTTAAATTCACATGTTGATAAGATTTTATCCTACTCCCCTAAAGAATCGGACAATTGTGCGGTTTTGTTAATTAAAGTAAAAATTAAACTAGGAGTGAAAGTCCCAGAGATTCTCAAACTTTTCAGGAATTTGTCTGAAGTGGCTATGCAGAGGCAAAAAAAATTAGTCTGTTCCATGTCCTCCATGAGAAAACACTAGAATTTTGTTCTACATTATTTAGCAACAGCCTCCTCCAGTTTGAAATGAGATGTTTTAGAAATAATGTTTTAGTTGTCCTTTTCTAAAATAACAACAATATCACACAGAGCCACAGACTGGCAGGGGTTGTAAGGGACCTCTGAAGATCATCTAGTCCAACTCCCTGCAACAGCTAGTTCACCTACAGCAGGTTGCACAGGATCATGTCCAGGTGGGTATTGAGTGTCTCCAAAGATGGAGACTCCACAGCCTCTCTGGGCAGCCTGTTCCAGTGCTCTGTCACCTTCAGCATAAAGAAGTTTTTCCTCATGTTCAGATGGAACTTCCTCTGTGCCAGTTTTTGCCTGCTGCCCCTTGTCCTGTTGCTAGACACCACTGAAAAGAGGGTTCATTGAGTATCTCACACATTCTTCACATGACCCTCACCTATCTGTGCCATATCCTGTAACGAAAGACCTTGTATTTCTAGCAGCTTTTATTTTTGATTTAAAAATACCAATACAAAAATGAACAACAAAGGAGGAACTGAAACTTTTAGACTATTGTGACTGTATTGAAATCAACATTGTAGTAGCTGCTATACTGATTGAAATATTCTTGCTTGTATGATACTAGGAAAGAACTTGTGTTTCAAAGTGATGCATGTTTGAAAGTGATACAGCACTTCTCCCAGATTGTCACTGAATTTTTCCAAGACATTTGCCTTTGAAGCAAAGAATACTTTGATTTGGAAAACTGAAATATATGGCAAATGTGAAATGGATTAAAAGCTGGCTCACTGACAAATTGAAAAATGTGATGTTAATGGACAGATATAAATGACTTGGATGTGTCTAGCAGGGTCAGATGCGTCTACCCTGGATTCAGTTCTTGGGTCAATAGCACATAACATTTTTATCAGCTGTCTAGACAGTGGTATAAGACATCTTCAGTAAAGCTTGACCATGCCAGAGATTGTTGAGGTAGTAAATAATATGCTAGATAATTACAGAAACTAATAAAACATATTTTAATATGGCCAAGCACCAGCCTCTTGTTCAGGATAGGAAACTATATGTAGTTGTAAAGCTGTGATTTAGAGAACGGCAGGTTATTCAAGATAATTGGGTCTACTTAAGTTTTTTGTGCAATGTTGTGGAAGGAAAAAGCACTAATGCAATAATGCATGTATTAAAGTCAGACTGTCAAGTGTAATGGGGTCTTGATTGCCTCTGCATATGCTATATTAATAAAACTTCCTCTAGAGTGCCAAGTCGAATTTTGATGTCCAGTCTTAAGGAAAATAAAGAAATGGAACAAAAGAAAGACATAGGGATGCACAGAACCTGGACATAAGGTTTTAAATCCTATGTAGCTTTAAGAATTTCACCTTAGTTTATCATTATGTATGGGTACTTGGGCATGAAAAATTTGTTTGTAGATACGGGACAAGGAACACTTTCAGTACCATTGATAAAGATGCAGTAAAATTCAGTGACTGGAAAATTAAATTAAGCTGAAAATGCAACCTCAAATTACCTTGCAGTTTGTTAGCTTTGAGGATTACTAAATAGTGGAACAGCTGATGCATAGAGGTGGTAGACTCATCAGGACTAGACATTTTTAAAAAAAAAAAAAAAGGAAAAGACAGTGTGCTCTTGCTAAAAGATGCACTGTATTCCAACCTCTGAAAGGGACTACACGTTGGAGGTGAATATCTGGTTGGGATAGCAAGCAGAGGGGTTCTGGCTGTTGCTGAGAGCTGTTAATTTTATGATTTCATGTTTACAGTTCACATGCTGCAAGGAGAACAGTTATACATGTCCTGTTCTCAATCTAAAACATACATGATTTGCCTAGAGGAGTCATGAAGAAATTACTTCCCTTACTTCTTGTACACAGGACTAAATAGTTTCCTTGTTCTTTGCTGGCTTCTGATCCAGAAACAAGTCAAGGCTGAAATTCACATCCTGGAAAGGTTGATCTAGTCCTCTGTGCTCTAAAGGGATCCTCTTTCATAGTCCCTGAGCATGACTTGTGGTCACCATTGCAGTGCTTATAAGGTGGGAGGGGACTTTGAGGAGTGAACAGGAGGAGTCCAGCTGAAGTTTCTGGGCTAAGAGCTCTTTCTTGCCTGAAGTCCCACAAAACTATGAAACCAGGAAGTTTGTCACAAGTCCACCTGGCCTGAGAACATGAGAGTCTTGAACATAGTGCTGGGTTCTCTGGTGCCTTGCTGTATGAGTGGGGCAGGGTTTTCTGAGGAATGCCTATTTTACCAGCTCTAATAGGTGGAAAAATTAGAAAAGCTTTCGGACAAAGAAGCTTTTTTTAGATCTTAAATAGCAACACATCCTTGAAACCAAAATACAGGTTGAGAGAAATTTCTCTCAGCCTAATGGCATATGTTAATAATCTAGACTATCTGAGAGAAGAGGTAGTAGACAGAGGAAAGCATGAGATAAAAAGGCTATTGTCACCATAGGAAAGAGAGCAGCAGGTGCTCTGTTGCTTGTTGGAACATAGTATCAGCTGGGGTAGGGGTTATGGAAGAAGGAGTTTGTACTATGTGATAAAACTGTTATTTCTATTGTGTCCATATTTTTTAGTATTTAGAGGAATTGCAAACTTTAGTAGGCTCCTTTTCAGAAGTATCCGCCAAGTATCTCTCTAAAAGATCATAGGTAGAGAGAACATTTAAAAATGGTCCCACTGATGCCTTTCTTTTTGTCTTTAATATGTCAGTGTGAATTAATTCATATATTTAATAGTTGTTTAATTTCATCCATGTATTTTACAAAGCACTTGCATCAGAAGAAGCGCATTGTGCTCTTGGAAATGAATGGGCAGGACCTACAGATCTTGATGATACTCATCAGAAGACACACACTGTGAGGCTTGTAAATATTGGCAATTCTGCGTTTGTTCCTTAGGTGTGGTCTGTTCCTTTTGATGCATAATCAGTCCACGTCGAATTTGCTTCTGCTTATAGGTTTAGCAATGCTGGACCTATTTGCAACATGCACCTCAGGGAGCCATATTCTGTAACAGAAAATATTTTTTGCCCATCTTCCCCTTGTAATACATAAACAATATACAAAATGGACAGTGGTTTGCTTGTTCACATGCCACTAGATTTCACCAAGGAACTATTTGCTGGTTTGTGTGTTGTACTTGTAGTTTATCGGAATTCTTAATTAAAAGCTTTAGTGTATTTAGCTACACCTGATTTGAGGCTATTAATTTATAAAGGATGTGCTTTATCATGGTACTTACAGTACAGTGTTCATCTTTTTAATGGATGTAGTAGATCTAATTTGTACTGGTATATTATTGCTTTTAGCAATGTGGTGGTGTGTTTGCCTAGAAGTAGAAAAAAACAGTTTGAGATTGGAATTAAAAGTTTATTGATGGCACTGCTATTGGAAATGCTGGAAAAAATTATCAGAGGTTTTTTTATTGGTTGGCTTTTTGGTCTGTTTTGAAGGTTTCCGGGTTTTATTTATTTTTTTTAAGTCATATTTAGTGGTTATATTCATTTTGACCATTTTCTTTCAGGAATATCAGCCTTGTAATACCAATGCCTGTCCAGAATTAAAAAAGACAACTCCTTGGACGCCTTGGACCCCAGTCAATATTTCAGACAATGGTGGCCACTATGAACAGCGTTTCCGATACACCTGCAAAGCGCGCTTGCCTGACCCAAATTTGCTAGAAGTTGGAAGGCAAAGGATTGAAATGCGCTACTGTTCCAGCGATGGCACCAGTGGATGCTTGACAGATGGTAAGCAAAGCTAGAGGGACTGCATGGTGCCTACTGCTAGCGAGGTGTCTGCAGTTCCATTTTCAGCACAGAGTGGAAGTTTTTGCTTCCTGGTGTTTTGCGTAACAGAACTGATAATGAAAAGAAGGACGTAGTGATCACAACGGGGATCTAGCTTGTATTTCTCCTGGATGTAGCCTCATTATTCAGACTAATCAAGTGTCATTTACCACTGATTATGAGGTTTGACAGGTTATTTTAATATTCTTTACAATATTTTGTGAGCCGTGACATGGCAGCCGAGTTCTTGGAGGATTCTGTCACCTCCTGATACTCTCTTGGGCTTCTGCTGGGGGAGAGAGTTTATGCTGCATTAGTGTATTTGATAAATATTTAGCTAGAATATGTAGTATTGATGCTGAGAAGAACTTTTTCTCAGTAATTCTAAAGTAACAAATGTAGGATTCATGCAGGTGTTTAACTGAATAAGGAGTTTATGAACTGGATAATTTCTGTTATAAAAGTTTATGTTATGCTATTGCTAGCTATTTGAAGTTCTGTTTATTTCTGAGATGGGAAACTGAACTCCTCCAAAATCTTTTCAACTTCAGATGACTTTGAATTGGAAGCATTTTATTTTTGAATGTTGTTCATTCCTCATCAGTAATATATAGTCTTGAATAAATGTTATTTGTGTATACATATAAAAAATAAAAACTAGGACAACTTCTGACAGTCACTTTAATTTTATTAATAAAATTTAATTATCAGTTTTAGTTATATATCAGTGTTTCTTTTTAAGTATTATATTTTAGTTACATAATCTAAGGAAATACTTATTTTAAATTATCATTTTTTAATATTTATAGGCCTGCTTTCCACTTACATAGCCTTTTGTACCTTCACAATACCCAGGTTAGCTGAAAAAATGTGTAACTGAAGCCATTTAGCTTATCTAAGGCCACAGAGAGAGAATGGTTTCTAAGTCCTTGGATGTTCTAGTTCTTAACAATGTTTTCAGGCAGACCACCTGTTGTGAAAAATCAGTATTAAGCATTTCCTGACTGTATTGGGTTTATATGGCAAGGCTTTGGTAGTGGGGGGGGCTGCAGGAGTGGCTTCTGTGAAATGATAGAAGCTTCCCCCATGCTTTTCATCCTGGGTAAAACTTCACTGATTCGCGTGACATCTGCACCTCTTTGGAGAGGGCAAGATGTTAGTAATTCTTTAAAGACATACATAGTAGTGAACTGCATGAAATAATAAAAGAAAACCCATGGTACTGCAAATGAGACTTAGCTTCATACTCTGTGTCATTCCCATTTCAGGTAATCTACTGTCTCCAGTGTTTATTTTTTAGGTCTGGATAGCAAGGCAGATTTTGGCATGGGGCAACTTTTGTTTCTGCTATTCTTTTGTCTTTATCCAAATTAAGTTTCAAACTAGCATTTAGCTAAGATTTTGCTCTGCTAGGATTGGTGTGTGACTTGCTTTCTTGTCGTAAGTACGACTTTAGTGTGGTGGTGCTGCTTTTTGCTGTCTTTCAGCATTTTGACATTTATAACACCTTTTTAAAATTTCATGACATTAAATGAGAAAGAGAATATTTTTTTCACCAGATGGTAGTTAGGAGAGTTATCACAGCAACTCAAAGTGCATCTACAGAAGAGTCTAGATATGTTCTTGTCTGACAGCTGAGATGGCAGCACTTAAGAATGGAGTATAGGAAAGCCAATGCACTACTTAGCAGGTTAGTAGGACAAACCAGTGCAAGAGGCCATGTGTCCTAGATCACATTACTGCAAGAAAATTAAGCATGGAGACACCTTTCTCAGCTCTAAAGTTATGATCACAAGTACTGCTGGAGATGTATGCCTAAGCTGACTCTTTCTTACAGAATATAGTGAGAAGTAATAGTGCCTATGCTTTGTGAAATAAAATGTTCAGGCAGAGTGAGAAAGACAAGGGTGTGTGTTAGCTGCATTCTTTGCCTGATTACCTTGAAGATTTTTCCTTCACTTCTGGACATCAGATTCCTGAATTTCCTGGTGTTGTATATGTGGCATCTTGCTGAAGCTGCTGCTTTGCTTCATTTGGAAATAATTAATCATTGAACCAATGTATGGAAGTGGCACTGTTGCATAGTAGTTGAGGTGTTCGTCTGGGAGAATGATTTTTGCTGACTAATCCCAAAAATACTGGATATTTAAATACTTTCATAGAGTAGCCAACAGGGCAGAAACTAGTATGAATCTTTCCATTCTTCCTAGTGAGTTCCCTCATAACTTTGTCATTAAGTCACTCTTTGACTCTTTTTGGCGAATGAGTCTTTAATTATTCTGTAATAAAAGATCGAACTCAATCAGTGTTCCAAGTGGCTGCATTAACTAATATTCTTCTGGTGAAAAGAGTTACTGTTATGTCTCCTTTAGCCACATCTTATTTTGAGCCTGTTTGCTTAGGCATTTTCTGATTATGGATGTGAGATCACTATGGAGTGGGACATTTCAGGGGTGGAGGGGAAGACACTGTTTTGATTTGCTGATGTGACAAAACTTACTCACTGATTCTAAACTGCAGGGTTCAGAAGCACTTCCCTGATCCCAGGTTTGAATCTGGGACAGTGCACCACACCTCTGCTGCTCCTTGATTCCATGGGAAGAAAATATATGAGTAAGAGTCATGTAGTGTAGCTGTAGCTTTTCAAACAGAAGGATCTCATGAGAATGGGAAACCATGTATTTCGGTGGACACCTTCACAATTTCTGGCTAGATAGCAATGAAACATCATAACTTACTTTCACCTTGATCAGAGCTAGGATACTGTGGAACATTCTTTTCATTATCTTCATGTTGAACTGTAGCAATTTGCTGGCTTTTATAGAAAGATTAATACTGGTACAGCATGCTCAGCATACCTCATTACCAAAAATGTCCTCTGCAAAGATCAGTTCTCTGTTCTTTGCAGAAAAGAGGCGTTTGTTAGAAATTTTCTTATTGCCTATAATCTCCTGCTGTGCAGCTATAGTCATGCCATGTTAAATAGAATAGTGTTTCACTGTCAGACACAGGCAAAGCAAACTTTCTTTGCAGTCTGAGCTTAGAGGTAAAGCTTCCTGCCAGAAACCCACTAGACTCCTCCTGAGTGTGGTAAGAGTTCTATCAACTCAACCAAGCAAGCAGTAGCATTTGCCCACTGTATCCATGCTTTTCTGATCTGAAGTTTGATTAAGAGGAAACAAAGATACATTTTGTTCTCTGTCCCTGGGTTTTCATATAGTGCTCAGATAGGGAAGGGACAGCTATTACAAATAAACTAAGAGAGATTGTGTACATTATAGCGCATCTTAATTCAAATGTCTATACACTCCAGCATTAAAAGTCTGCAAATTACATCACCATAGACTTTGATCTGTGCTTATTAAATGTATTAAATATCTGCATTCAACATAGTAACTGACTTTCTGTGGAAGTATCTGATATAGAAGCACTACGAATTATATTGAAAACATAAGTGTTTAATCCAGCGGTAAAAATTTCACAAGGTATGAGGTTACACAATTTTTCCAGGTTGAATTTATATCGCCTAACTCTAGACTCCATTTTAGCCTGCAAAGACAGCTAGCACCCTGGGGAATGAGGGATCCATCTGAAGATAAGCATCTGATATAATGGGCCAAGCCACCTTCTTTTCTTTCCACATTGTATACAAAGGAAACAGCAATGATGAGCTAAGGCAAGATACTTGAATTTGACATGGCCAAAGTTGGATGAGGATAGCTCTCAAAATACCTTCAGAAAACAATTAAACAAACACAGCCCTTCTAATTTTAGTCAAACAGTCTTACAGATCTTTTATTTGCTTTTTTCCATTTTTAAAAATCTTTGGTTAGTGGAGGGGTGGGAAGAGAGAATAAAACCTGAAGAAAAGTCCCAAGTTTCTTAAAGGAGAAAAAGGCACCTGGAAATCTGACCTCGTTAATGTTTATGAACTTGTAAAAGGCGAGCGTCAGGAGGAAGGAGCCAGGCTCTTCTCAGTGATAGCCAATGACAGGGCAAGGGGCAATGGGAGCAAGCTGGAGCATAGGAGGTTCAATCTGAACATGAGGAAAAACTTTTTTACTGTAAGGGTTACGGAGCACTGGAACAGGCTGCCCAGAGAGGTTGTGGAGTCTCCTTCTCTGGAGACATTCGAAACCAACCTGGACGCGTTCCTGTGTGACCTAGTCTAGGTGATCCTGCTCTGGCAGGGGGTTTGGACTGGATGATCTTTCGAGGTCCCTTCCAACTCCTAATATTCTGTGATTCTGTGATCTGAACTTAGATTCTCAATTGTCAAGTCTTTCTCTATGCCAAACTTAAAACAATAGTTAATTTTGAAGGTAGGATGTAATTTTGTCTGAAATGCTGTTTCAGTGGTCATGGTCTCTTGTGAAGAGATTGATCAAATCCTAGTGTTACCCACAGGAAATCTATAGTGGATTTGGAATTTAGTACAGAAGAAAACAGGTGCTGATAATCAGTAATGTCCAGCAGTCAGGAGGAGTACATGTTGAGATGTTATCTATTTTACTGTCTTATTGAAGCTAATCTGTGGTATTCTGAGATAAGAAAAAAATGAATTGTGGAAGTTAGAACTGAATTTGATGACAAATTCATATTTGATTGACAAAGAACTGTTCAGTGGAACTTTGAGATTAAATATTTAAACACAGAAAAGCTAGCTACAAGAAATAAATTTCTGGTGGCACCATAACATCCTCCATCTGCATACTATTTGGTTTTGGGTTTTTTTGTGTTTGTTTTTGTTTGTTGTTGTTTTTTTTAAATAAGGTATCTTTGCATTACATTATCTTTTGTCATTACATTTTACCATTTAGATTTTACTAAGTAAGTTTTGAAGTTTTATAAGGTTTTTATAAGCTATGGGTATACAAGCCTGAAGGTATACAAGTTTTATACTTCAATGATCTTGTCAAATACTTGAGGAATAACTTCAGAAAATGACAACACTGAAATAA